TATATAATATAATGTAATAGATATATAATAATGTAATGTAATACTAGGATGTATTATGCACTTAAAGTACTACGGTATTAACCGGCTAACTGCGTCTGCCGCGTTTAGAGTAATCTTTCGCACGCGTCATTGCGTTGAACCGCAACTATTAGAACGACTAACTATTCGAGCGTTGGATTTACATAATACTCTGTACTCTCGTAACGCGACTGGCGTCGAGCGCGCGCACGTGCACGTGCGGTGTAGATTCGCGTGTGGTAGGTGCGTGTGTCGTAGAAACGCGTGCTAGATAACGTGTGTGTGTGTGTGTGTGTGTGTCTGTCTGTGTCGGTGTGTGTCCTAACACTCGCTCAATGGGCCTAACGTGTGAGTATAGCCAGCCCCTGCGTGAGACGTGGTGACCCTCCGTGCCACCGTGACTAATAGTTCCGTGCTGCGTGTGCGTGCTTGTGTGTGTGTGTGTCTGTCTGTCTGTCTGTGTCGGTGTGTGTCCTAACACTCGCTCAATGGGCCCAACGTGTGAGTATAGCCCCTGCGTGAGACGTGGTGCCCGCCGTGCCACCGTGACTAATAGTTCCGTGCTGCGTGTGCGTGCTTGTGTGTGTGACAACGAGACTAGCTAACCACCGTACTGCATGCCTGCTGACCCGCAAGACGCGTCACGTCGCCGGCGGCCCTCTTTTTTTTCCGGTGACTCGCGCGCGGATGTTCCTTATTCCGGCACGTCCCGCCGTTCCCGTGTCACGGACGGGGAAGAGGTCGACCGTCGCCTCTTCCGCAATTTTTCCGCTCTTTCCGACGATGTCGATTGGGCTCGTCCAGAGGGCGCCGCCAGCACTCGCGTCCACGTTCGCTGTTTTAACGCAAGACTTGTGTTGCAGGTGAATCTCCTAGGCAGGAGGAAACGCTGACGACGACAGCGACGAATAAACTTCTAATTTGCACGTTGTCGATCCAACAGGCCAGCGTTTTTAACAACAACAATTTTGCAATTTTGCAATTTTGCAATTTTTTTACAGCAATAACTTCAGTGAAATGAATAGCAAGGGAGGAGATTTCAGGTGCGAAAATTATCATCGATGCGACGACGACGACGTAGAAATGTTAATTCCGGTCGTTGTGAGTGCAGGTGAGAGAAGTGTTGACGTCGGCTATGAGCTAATAAAATATAAGAGTAATCGTGAAACTCTGTCTTGTCTTTTTTATAACGTGTTTATTCCAGTTATACGAAAAATATCATTTTCGTCGCGACCGTAACACCGCGCGCGCGCGACTAAGGTAGCGTGCGGTATCGCGGTGACCTTTGATTCGTGGGATATGTACATCGTACGTAGTATCACAGTTTTTGCTGCATTTTCACAATTGGAAATTGGAAAGCATAACTGATCCATTAATGCACTGTTAAACTTGACTTCGAAACAAAACAATAATGACACACGTATCAATTCAGAAGTGAAATTAAATCAAACTCTATCGAGTCCATAAAATTAAAATGTACATGTGAATCGTCCTATCACACTGTATCAGCAAAAAGCGGACGAGTAAAAGACCGCAATCAAAAATCCTTGCAACTTGTTTTCTACATAATCTCACTTGGTGTCTGGTAAATTCTATAGAGTACGTACGATTTTGAACGTGAGCGCGTGTATTTCTAACATTACATTCATATTTACATCTGCGTGAGATCACACAAAGGGTTACGGTACGTTAAAAGTAGACTACTAGCTGATTTAAAAACGCTATATATTCTTGAAGCTCTTTTGTATTGTGACTTCTGGGTACATCTGGCGCCATCTATGAACGTCAATGAACTCTATACACGTACAGTAGGAGACGTCCAATAGCTTCAGTTGCGTGCATTCCAGCAGAACTCTGCAAAACGATGGGAGAAGGGAAAAGATGTGAATAACATACAGCCTGGGAAACTAGCGCGAGAAGAGAGAGAGAGAAGAAACTAGCGCGAGAAGAGAGAGAGAGAAGAAACTAGAGCCGATCAGAATTCCTTGAGAAATCCGCACGCACTACCAAGGATGCGATGTAACTACGCATTACACTACGTCACGTTCCGACATGGTACTGCACGACATTTGTAGGGGGGCATGATCCGACCCAACCTTGACACGAGCCTGACCCGACCTTGACACGAGCTTGACCTGACCTTACCCTGCGACGGCGATCGGCGTGACCCCCATTGACCCCAGGATGTCGAGCTGTTCAAGGTCGCGGCAGTGAGCTGCGAACGCCTGCAGATCCCTGTCGTTGATGGTCCTGCAGTGACGAGGCAAGAGAGACAGAAGCGACTGAGTTACTGTCTTAGTCCCAGTGTTGAGTGCAGGCAGGTGCACAGGCACACATACACACACAGACAGGCACGTGCACGCTTACACACATGTACAGCCACACGCACACACAAACACATACATGAGCACGCACGCACAAACACACGCACCCCCACCCCACACACACACACACATACATGCGCAGAGGCGCGCAAACTGAACTGTATTCACTTCCAACTAGGCACATGCGCAGAGGCGCGCAAACTGAACTGTATTCACTTCCAACTAGGCGAGATTAATTCTCACAACAGCATCGGCCTCACTACACCCGACAACACGGGTGACCGGTCGCACCTCCATGCGCGTCCGTCGTCGAGTAGAGAACTTCAGTGCGCGAACCCGCCACCATATTTCCCACAGGTTTATTACTCACCTGATGGAGGTCAGGTAGAGGGCGCGCAGTCGCGGACACCGTCTCGCCAGGTTGACGAGGCACCCGTCCCTTGACGACACCTCCACGCTGCAAGCGCAAGCAGATGTCTCACGACAGACGAATATCACGAAAAGACTATTCCAGCTTTTGATATCACGAGACCACAAGCGCTGTATACGCCATATTTTTCGCGTACAGATATTTTCGCGAATTCAGACTTGACGGACGGAATTTCGCGAGTGGTTAATTTCGCGGACGGTGAATTATGAATTATTCGGTATGAATTATTATTTGCGTGTTGTTATTTTCGCGGTCGGGGACGCGTTCGCGAAACTAGCGAAAATTTTACGACCGCGAAATATACAGCGTATACAGTAATTCCTTCTCACTGCGTAGGTACTATGTGGTATGTACGACATACATCGTTGGAGGGGAAGGTTGGGGGACGCCTGCGCGTGATCTTGTCTGCCAACGATTTTTATACTTTGCTTTTATAATCTACACGCGATTTTGCATTTACCTTTTGCAACCGTTTTCGTCAGCAATTTTCTACTATGAAATACTTCTCCCTCCGATTTCCATATAAGTACGCTTTACTACGTAAGATTTTCATTTGATGGTTAATAAGGGCCGACAAAACGAAGAGTTTGCCAACACAAGAGGAGGTGATAAGAACTAGCAGACGACTCTCCCTCGACCCATCTACCCACATGCCCGAGGGAGGGCAACAGATGCCCGAGGGAGGGCAACAGATGCCCAAGGGAGGGCAACACATGCCCGAGGGAGGGCAACAGATGCACGGAGGAAAGCAGACGCCTCTCCCTCGACCCATCTACCCACATGCCCGAGGGAGGGCAACAGATGCACGGAGGAAAAAGGGAGGGCAACAAATGCACGGAGGAAAGCAGACGACAGAGAGGCAAGCAGACGTTGGTGACTCACCACCAGCCGACGTCTAGCTCCAGCAGGGCGGCGCCACAGGTCTGCGCGATCACCACGAGCGAGTTGTTGCCGACGCTCTTCACGCGACACACGTTCAGGCATTTCAGCTCCCTGCAAGAGAAATCGGGAATTCAACGAGCGGAAAAACGTCGACCGCAGGCCACCGCGTGGATTGTCTGGGTCTCTAGTTTGCGACTAGCTCGTAACGTCAGAGCTCTGATTAACGGCACAACAAGATTACGCCCAGAATTATGCTCTCACGGTACCAGGGGTAGAAATTAACTTTTGAACACCCTACGCTCAAAAAGTCTGGAGTCCGCAGTCTGAGGTTCAAAATTAAAGATATTAACAATAACGCATGTGCTTATTTTTAAGATTCTCTCAGGCGACGCTTCTCTGGTATCCGGTCTCTCATCTGGATATGTCAAACCAGGGAGTCCGACAGTAAATCAAGGAGTATTTGACTCCGGATTCCATTAATTTCGCACCCTGCGGTACTGACGGTGCTGACTTTTGAGTTGACTCCCTCCCTCCCTCCCTTCTTTCCTCGTACAAGTCTGTCAGTATCGAGCGAGGTTGAACGTGTTAGTACGTGGTGTGTTAGAGTTCATCTTTAACTAGTAACATTGCAGCAGCCCTGACTTTACTACGTAGGTAGCGCCTACTGTAAGTTTTCATTTGAGCCAATCGATTTGTCGTCTGTGTCTCGCGTGGATTGGGTAAGGCCATGCTGCTCTCGTTCCCGGAGGGATCCGCGTCAAGGATTCGCCAGTGGTTATATATTGACATTATCGCTAGCCTTTTTAACTCCAGGCTGTCAAGCAATTATATAGTGTACAATCTACAATCTGCAAGGAGTAGTGTATTTGTTACGTGCCTTGTGGAGACAGCTCGGGGGTTTCTGTTTCGAGCTCGTCGTCATTATTGACGTTCCCTTGTTATTTGCGCACGCGCGCAAAAGGCGAAGGAGAGCTGCGCCGGCATAGAGCTGGATGGGCGGCGCATCCGAGTCGACTACTCGATCACGAAGCGTGCGCACACACCCACCCCCGGAGTCTACATGGGTCGACCCACCCGGTACGTATCCCCTTTCCCCCACCCCTATCTCAAGATCTAAGATAGCTGCGCCGGTCCTTGAAAAAAGTGGTTCGTGGAAAAAAAACGGCGACTGTCGCTAAGACGTACTTGTATCGCGTGTTTTTTAAACGAAATTCTGATGGGAAAAAAATTCGAACAAAATCCGCGTCGTCTCCGCGGTTACCCCGCGTCAACTAACCCGACGACGTCGTCTGCGCTTACAGCGGCGGCGGAGGTGGCGGCGGCGGCGGTGGCGGTCGTCGGAGGAACGACTACGGCGGCGGGGGAGGCTACGGAGGAGGAGGCGGCGGATACGGCGGCGGCGGAGGAGGGTACGGAGGAGGAGGAGGAGGCGGCTACAGCGGAGGAGGAGGAGGGTACGGCGGAGGAGGAGGCGGCTACGGAGGAGGAGGTGGCTACGGAGGAGGAGGAGGAGGAGGAGGATACAAGAGGGGAGGGCGCGGCTACTCGCCTCGCTACTCGCGCTCCCGCTCCCGCTCGTACTCTCCGCGTAAGTACCGATGATCACGCGTCGCCCCCCTGCTGGCGTAAGCTGAGGAGATTCTTGGCTTGTTGCCAATAACTCTTGGACACAAACATCAAAGCTTGCTCTCCGGCGCATATAGTCTATAGTAATATTACCACCCCAGAGGTGAACACACACAGTTGATGTGCAAAACTGACTAATGTGCTACTGCATAAACGATGGCAGGAGTATGCAGACGGCCATGTGGAAGATAGGTCCGCGCCATTTTATTGTGTCTGTACCTAACCTGTTTTACCGTCGTTAAAGAAAGTCGTTTCAATAAAAAATACCGTCGTTAATATCCTGATTTCTAATGATGAATCATATGATCTTACTCTAACGATAAAAATTATTTATTTCATACTCCAGACAGTACGTGCAAAAGCTATACTGAACACTTCCACAAGTACAAGCTTGTGCATCTTACGTCTCGGTGATCCCCTCAAGGTTAACCCAGCACCAAGCGCGCTCTATTGGATGGACAAGTGCATATCCACGGCCCCTCACCTGAGATTTTCGGCTATGGCCACAGCGACTTCGTGAAAGTTTGCGATCTGGCTGCACGAGTCAAAATTGAGCATCTCCAGGTGAACGCAGTTCCTGCAACGTTGATAGAATGGCAAGTAGGCACACCGCGCACAAAGCACTCGCTCATTCATGGTTAACGCCAGCTCTACTCTACCTTCCCCCTCACCCAAACTGCTCTCACCGCTTAATTACCCTTTATCTTAATCTTTATCGCCTTCCTTCTACTTTTTTTCCCATTTTTAAAAATTTTTCTTGTTCTGTCATATCTATCCTGTTTATATCTTTTTTAATACTTTCGTCACGTTACTTTTTGCCATTATATATTTTTTCGTCATCTCTGACACCCTGGATTTGCCTCGCGGACGTGCCGCCACAGCCGTTACCTGACGATCAGTGCAGCTTCGCTGGTTCTCACGGCCGTTCTGTACAGGTTGAGTCGCTGCAGGCGCGAGGCACGCGCGATCTCGGCGAATCCCTCGTCGCCCAGTCTCCCGCAGCATCGCACGTCCAGTTCTGAAACCCGGTCAACGCATCGTCGCAGTCCGCAACGTTAAACGCGCGCATAGCCGAAAATTCAATCTCAAATCAAAATCTTATTCTCAATTCTGTTTTTGTGGACGTCAAATTCGATTAGGGCATTAGATCGATGCTGTATTATAGTAGAACACGAGCTTGTCAGTGAGTTTTCTAAATTTATCAAACTGGTAGTGTCACCTATTGGACAGTATATGAGTTCTTGTAGTACGTACTTCTACCAATGAAAGACGTAATTTATATATTGTCCATGAAATGGCACAAGTAGGCTCAATACTTCCAGCTTTCAATGCAGTTGGGGAGAATTGGTGACTAATTTCACACAGGAAAGATGGATAAGTGGACAGGCCGCAGGGATAAACACAGTCACTAGTGCCTACGCACACATTTAATAACTTCAACGAAAAATGTTCGCCTACCTGTCAAGCCTGGGCAAACATCCACAATTATCTTGAGAGAAGAGTTGGTCACATATTCGGTGCAGGAGGCTAACCGTAGGCATGTCAGATTACCACCACAGCTCTGCAGAAACCTAAAAGTAACGTAGATAGATACTAAATAACTACTTGAGCTCTCGAAACATCAAGTTCGCTCTCTCGTCTTATCGCAGTGCTCGTGACGTAACATAATTACACGTGCTTGCTATGAAAGTTCATTCCATGTGCAAGAAAACTAGAATAATATATGAAGATGATGATGATGATGATGATGATAATGAAGATGATGATGATAATGACGACGATGATGATGACACTGGCGATACTGACGATACTGACGACAATCTCATGATGACAATGATGATGACGATACAGACGATGATACAGACGATGATAATAACGATGTAATGATGACGATGATGACAACGTATGTGCGTAAGTACTCGGATCCTAAACGTAGACCCGAGCCACTCTTCGTCTCACCTGACGAAGCCAGCTTCGGTGAGGTTGTGGTAAGGACCGCACCATGACAACGACAGCCTCCTCATGAGATGGCATCGACCCGCCAGTCCCGCCAGGGCGGCGTCCGTGATCTGCGGGCGCAAAGCAACGACGTCACGCGATTACGCTCGTCCCCACGGTCGTTTTCACGCAGGGGAAACGCGGAAACGGGAGTTTCACGTTACATAAATCTTTTTTGGGGCTGCTTTGTTTTTCGTAACACGATAGATCTCTCTGTGAGATGCTACGAGAATTTATTTCACGTAGAAACTATGTTTGGGACGACTCAGTCATCAAGTTCAAATATATTTAAGCTGGACATCTGTGCGATGCTTTTCGATTATCATTTATATCTAGTATTGCACGAAGGGTCGTTGTCGTATCAGGTACTACATATATGTACCCGAGGTAGTTTTAGGTTGTTTAGTATTGTTTATATTTTTACGTTGTCGTATCAGGTACTACATATATGTAACCGAGGTAGTTTTAGGTTGTTTAGTATTATGTTTATATTTTTATATGAGGTATGTTTAGGGTTGGGTTAGGGTTAGGGTTAGGGTACACTTCTGTAGTACAAGTCTGGTACACTTTTTCTGTATACATATATGTATCTCGGGTACATATATGTAGTACCTGATACGACAACAACCCCTTCAGCTCTAGTATTGTCATTACCTACACATTACCTACCATATGCCAGTATGGTTGTAGATCTAACTCTGTAAACTGTTGCGCATCGTAGCAGTGCTTGCATAGAGTTCTGAAACCATTTGGAAACAATATGAGATACAGATAAGCAATGCTTCCCTGGTAAAATGCAGTGAATCAAGACTGGGATTCATGATATTCTATACTATTACATGGATATGGATTAAATAGAAGGTTCATGAATGGTTCTAAGTGTGTTAATGACGTACATATTTAAAAAGAACATGTTATATTTACCTGCATGTCTGTGCTACTCTACATAAATCCAATATGTCAAAGAAGGATATGATGTACTGGATCACTTCTTCCTGTTAATAAAAACACGTAGAGATAAATGTTTACACATTGCTATCGCAGCAACATGGAGTCACATACGCTAACCTGCAACACGATTCCATTCGATTCCCACCAATCAGACCATGTCTTCTTACTCCACGCTCAGGCGATTCCTGTGCCCGCCATCCGGGCATTATCCTGTCACCTCTTGGGTTCTCCAGGTTCCCGTTCTGCCGACCCCCGTCTTGCGAGGGCCGCATCTTATGATGTCGCGTGTCACGTACACTGCTCTCCGCTCTCTAAGTGACCATTCTATCTAGTCAGTCGATCGACACCTGTAACACCTGTGGCCCCGCTACTCGAGCGCAGCATCGCTACACAATGCTATCACTTATTCCTAATCGTTTTCCTGCATAAAAACTAGCGGGTACGGGTCTAACAGGCAGGCGGTGCATCGCGCCACTTCGTAACTGCCGTCCGGTCACACCGCCTCCTTTAAACGACCGGTGACGAACCGACGCTAGCGTCTCCGCGTCGTCACTCACCGGCATGTCCACCAACGAACGGCAGTCGTCGCCGCGGCGCGTTTCGTAAGCCGATCTCCGCGCGGGACCGTCGCCGCCGCCGCCGCCGCCGCCGCCGCGAACCGCACAGCTGTTGTTGTCTCGGTCGAGTCCGTCCGTCTCGTGGGGGTCAGGCGTCTCGTGGGGGTCGGGCATCTCGTGGGGGTCGGGCGTCTCGGCCGACCCCAGCAGTCTCACGGCGTCCAGCGACGTGTAGTAGGAGAGGTGGCGGTGCGAGAACTCGATCCGGATCAGACTGAAATACGGGCGAAACTCGGCCGTGAGAGCGCGTCGCACGTCTCTACTCAGAGCCCAACACACGGGATTCTTTTTTATCGGGGGTAGATAATGACATTATTATTTAATCATTTCATTTAATCATTATTTGTCATTATCTACCTTTCTTTTTATTCTACTACTTCTTCTTCCTTCCGATTCTGGAATCATAAAAATGCTAAAGCTGCAGCTGCTGACTAAGTATAACACTTAAACAGAGCTTGTCTTTTCTACGGCAGCGGTTTGAAACCAAAGGAAGATCGATTGCCTGCTAGAACCGTATGTACGAGTGAGACGCTCGGTGTCGTACCTGGTCACAAAGTCGCATCTATCGAGCTGTGGTGAGTAAACGCGTGGCACTGCGGGCGCGCACTGCGGCATTCCTTCCCAAAGTACTTTCCACCTGACGAACACATTACTATAGTAATTATACCTATATTACCTACTAACAACAAGCGTCGCAGCATCAATTTGCAGGCGTGGTGTGCACCACAATCTATAGGAAGTATAATCAAGAGTCTAAGTAGGTTTTGCACACTACTTTCTTAGAGATAGTTATTGTTAAAGGCTTACAAATCACATGCAGTTTACACGCAATTAATTACCTCAGTGCTGAATCTTCTTCGTGATTGACTTGTGCAGCAAGTATGCGCACGGTAGAGCCAGGGTTGAAAGTTTCGTAAATCTCGAGCTTATTCGGAAAGACCATCTTTTTAAATAATATGTCTGTAACAAATGAAGACCCTGCATTATAGCATCAAGGATAGTTTGGGAGCCCACAAATGTATTTTCGCATGTGTGCTAAACTAATCCGGGGCGCTAAACTAGGCTTGGGCTGCATTATACGTCACAATGTATCACCAATATTAATTGAATACAGTATGAAGATGGCCACCTTTAGGGACAGTGATTTTCCGCGATCGCGGAAGACGGACGGAAAACACGGAAACGGCCATTCGAAACAGAAAAGATGTTTTCAAACGGAAAAATGCGGAAAACGTAATTTGAACATATTACAACGTGGAAATTTCAATAAAATCATTAAAAAACGTCGACAATAGCATTGGTAGTGATATATGGTTTACATTCAGACAAGTTTCAGAGCAAAATGACTTACAATTACGTCTTTTGGTAGCCCTGTGTTTCGGTGCCAACCCAACTGTCAGTCAGTGACCAAATACCTTTTTTTCATGCAAATATATGTAAACGGAATTTTGCATTTTTGGTGTGTACAATCTCTATGGCAAAACGGAATTTCCATTTTTTCTTTACTTTGAAACGGAATTCATGATTTTCCCAAACGGAAAAGGCAATTTTTTGAAATGGAAAATCACTGTCCCTACACCTTACTCAAATGAAGGACATGGTGAAGGCAGGACACCTACCGATGAAATCACTACTAGTATTGCGCGTCGCAACTCGCTGGAACGGCTCACATGCAGACGGCGCGAGGTCCCACCAGATGCCATAAGTTCGCTGAAATAAAGAAGATCTAGTCCTTAATTAGAGTGCCATCCATTTCTCTTTATAGTTTATTTGACTATAGCACTCGTCCCAACACATTTGACATCTCCGAGAGAGAGGGAGAGTGAGAGAGAGAGGGGGGGCGAGAGAGAGAGAGACAGAACAGACAGAGAAAGAGAGAGAGAGAGAGAAGAGAGAGAGAGAGAGAGAGAGAGAGAGGGGGGAGATGAGAGAGAAAGAGAGAGAGAGAGAGAGAGAGAGAGAGAGAGAACGAAGAGGAGCGCCTAGACGAGAGAAAGAAAGCGAGAGAGAGAGAGAGAGAGAGAGAGAAGAGAGAGAGAGAGGAGAGAGAGAGAGAGAGAGAAGAGAGAGACGAGAGAAGAGAGAGAGAGAGAGAGAAGAGAGAGGAGAGAGAGAAGAGAGAGAGAGAGAGAGGAGAGAGAAGAGAGAGAGAGAGAGAGAGGGGAGAGAAAAGAGAGAAGAGAGAGAGAGAGAGAGAGAGAGCGAGAGAGAACAGTGAATGTGTCTGTGTGGTGCGCTGCGTGAGCTGGCGTGGTGCGTGGCGTGCGTGGCGATGCCGTGTGCTGCGTGTGCGTCGCGAGAGTGGCGTGCGGCGTGCCAGGTTGCGTGGTGCACGTTGCGAGCGAGCGGCGAGCGACGAGAGAGAGAGAGAGAGAGAGAGAGAGAGAGAGAGAGAGAGAGAGAGAGAGAACGGGCCCCTCCTTTAAGGGGTGACAATGGGAGCAAGAGAGGAGACGGTAAAAAAAGTGAAATTTCTACACAAGTTATTATAGATAGAAACAAACGCACTCACTGTAACAAATGCTTCAGCGAAATCGCCGTAACGAGGGTATATTCTATGCGGTCCCTTTAGGTTTTCGGCCGTGTAACACAACCCGTAATCCCTACCGTACTGACTACTGAAGTCTACCACGTCAGCCGCATACTGTTCTACCACGGGGTGCTGCTTAACCGCTTCGTCCCTTTCGCGAGGCTTCGAGGAAACTAGCTGTCCCAGCGTACGCTTCAAATTAAGAAGAAATAAAACGAACGAAGACGCGTGGTGCTCTTCATCGGACATAATTGTTTACAAACACGGCTGATCGCTGGTGTGACGTCAGCGTTTCGGCTTGTAGGTGGCGCCATCGTGTGAACGAATCAGTCGCGAAAGTTAATTTAATTTACACGGAAAATTATATTATATTTTTTACTACTCTTGAATAAAAATAGATGAGATGACTGATTTAGTCCTTCTGACCATCTGTTTTTTCTGTTTCTCTTCTTCTTCCTTTTCGTTCTCCTCCCCCTGCTCCTCCTCCTCCTCCCTCGCTGCCTCTCCCTCCCTGCTCCTACTCCTCCCTCCTCCTACCTCCTCCTCCATCCCTCCCTCCTCGCTCCTCCTCCTCCTCCTCCTCCTCCTCCTCCTCCTCCTCCCTTCCTTCTCCCTGCCTCCTCCTCCTCACATCCTGCCTGAGCGCCTACCTCCTCATCTTCCTCCTCCTCTTCCTACTACTCTCCCTCCTGTGCCACTTCGTCTACTTCCACTTCTTCCTCCTCCATCATTAGAAAATAATGTTACAGGAAATTTTTATAATAACGCGGTTAAAATCATTATCATAACCATTCTGATAGAAATGGCACAAAATGTTGGTCCATGATAGCAACACTAGAAAACGCAACAAAGAAATAAGTACACATAATATCAGTAGCCCTGGTACATATAAGCTATTAGTAGATATATACGAGTACTGCGGATGGAAGTAGATAGGAAGAGAGGAGGTTAGGCTGAGAGGCACGCATATCGCACTCAATATAGGCGCGAGGGGTAATTAGTGTAGTAGGTGTTGTTGCGTCGTTGTTGCGCGAGTAATATCTTCTCTGCTTAACCTTCGCACTTCAACAGTTAAAGTTTTAGTCAAGTTGCGGTGGGTATAGGTCTAATAACCATGGCTGTATTCGCGGGTATACTACATACTACATTACCATTAGCCTTGCGCCTCTCATCCCCAGTGTCTCCCACCCCGCGTTCACACCCTTTCTCCTCTCACGTCCTCCTCCCACCTCGTCCCGTCACACGCTTACCTTACACACGAGCCTGCCGAATTAAATATCAACGTTCCTTATAACCGTGTGGGCGAACCGCTGCCTCGGTGATCGTAGTCTGGTTCGTTTCAATCTCACCTGTCCATACATCGCACTCTATACCTATACCTCACCTACGCAAGCACAACGACACACACACACACACACACACACACACAACACACAAGCCACACACACACACCACACACACACACACACACACACACACCACTCTCTCTCTCTCTCTCCTCTCGTCTCATCTCTTCTCTCTCTCTCTCTCTCTCTCTCTCTTCTCGCTCTCATCTCTCTCAGCAGGGGTAGGACGGGCCGAGATGTCATTTTCGCCTTTAGAAAAACGCCGCAGTAAGAGCGGCGGGCGATAGACAGCGGAACGGTCGGGCACCATGCTAGCTACTACTGCTGCTGCTGCTGCTGCTGCTGGACCGCTGCTGCTGCTGCTGCATGCTACTACTACTGCTGCTGTCTGCTGCTGCGCTGACTGCTGCTGCTGTGGCATGCTGCTGCACTACTGCTGCTGCTGTGCTACTACTCGCTACTAACTACTACTGCCTACTACTGCTACTTACTACTGCTACTACTGCTAACTACACTGCTTGCTGCTGCTGCTACTACTACTACTGCTAATACTTGCTAACTACTACTGCTACTACTGGCTAACTACTACTGCTGCTGGCTGCTGGCTGCATGAATGTCTGTACCTGCTTGCTGCTGGCTGCTGCATTCTACTAGTGCTGCTGCTGCTGCTGCTGACGCTGCTGCTGCTGCTAACTACTGCTGCATGCTGCTGCTGCTGCTACTCGGCTGCTACTGCCCCCACTGCGTTTTTTTTGCTACTGCTGCTGCTACTACTGCCTGCTGCTGCTCGCTGGGCTGCTGCTGGGCTGCTACTACTGCTGCTGCATAGCTACTAGCTGCTGCCTGCTGCTACTGCTACTACTGCTGCTACTACTGCTGCTGCTGCTGCTACTGCTACTACTGCTGCTACTACTGCTGCTGCTGCTGCTGCTGCTACTACTGCTACTACTACTGCTGCTGCTGCTGCTGCTGCTACTACTGCTGCTGCTTCTGCTGCTGACGCTGCTCGGGTGTGGAAGGATGGGTGGTTAACACGACTCAAGGTAAGCTGGATGTTTACTGCCCCCCTCCCCATAATATAGCTAGCTGCGTCGCTCGTCGTGGCAACCTGTTGTCGACACGCCTCGAGTAACGTCGACGTGCAAATCTTAATGACTCCGTCGTCGTCTCCGCTTCCTAGCTTTCGCCGCTGTCGTCACCGAAAATGTCAATTGTAACCGGTGTATGAATTAATGAATAACTACTGCTGAACTCTCGCGTCTAGGTGCATGCACAGGTGTCTGGAGTCAGTGCTCCTTAAATGTAATTATCTCTCACTTGAAATAATATCAGTTTTGCAATGATATATAATTGCGCATTTCGCATCATTAAAATTCTAATTATGCATGCAACGTGTTTGATAATTGTTTTTAATTTGCCTATTATGTACTTCATCAACCGTACGTACAGAAGGAATACTATCAGAAGTGTCATAAATAATATAGATATATAGTGTCTATATAATTACACTGCTGATAATATGGATATAAAGGCTACAGACAGGGGGGGGCACCGATATATAGTCACTATTGCATAAGCATAGAAGCAGCATAGAGTAAGGTGGAAGTATGTTGCAATTCTTGCTCTGACGACATGAGTCATGACGAACGTACGGGTTAACACTCTTTGGCCGTCGTTACACACACACACGTGTTTTGCGTTTCTGCTCCCACTGGCGCAGTGACTGCATGCCTACGACAGCATATAGGTCCGCGTGCGTCTTAAAACATACCATGTTTTGCCTCTCAGACGAGCATTGTACGAAGATTGTGTCAGTAGCTTTCCTGTCAAGGCCGTCTTTCATATTGACAAATGGGACAATACTCTGGGAACCGGCTGCGTTCCCGGTGACTTCTCCCCACAGAAGGAGAGAAAGCGAAAGAGAGAGAGAGAGAGAGAGAGAGCAATGGGGAGGGGGAGCGAGATAAAGAAAGAGAGATAGCGAAAGAGGGGAAGAGCGAGAGACATGGCGGGATAGAGACAGAGACAGAGAGAGAGAGACAAACAGAGCGAGCGAGAGAGAGAGAGAGGGCGAAAGCGAGAGAGAAAGAAAGAAAGAAAGAAAGAGAGAGAGATCAGAGACAAGGCGAGAGAGCGAGAGGGAGACAGACAGAGAGCGAGAAAGAGAGAGAGAGAGAGAGAGAGGGAGAAAGAGAGAGGGAGAGCACGAGCGAGACAGGCAGAGGGGGAGAGAGAAAGAAAGAGAGACAGAGGGCGAAAATGAGAGAAAAAGAAAATAAAAGAGAGAGAGAGAGAACACAGGACACCACCGAGAGAGAGAGGAGAGAGAGAGAAAGCAGAAAGAAGAGAGAAGAAGAGAGAGAGAGAGAGAGAAGAAGAGATAGAGAAAGAAGAGAAGAGAGAGAGAAAGAGAGAGAGAGAGAGAGAGAAAGAGAGAGAGAGAGAGAGAAAGAGAGAAGAGAAGAGAAGCAGAAGAGAGAGAGAGACGAGAGAGAGAGAGAGATGAGAGAGAGAGCGAGAAAGAGAGAGAGAGAGAGGAGAGAGAAAGAAAGAGAGAGAAAGTAGAGAGAGAGAGAGAGACGAGAGCAAAAGAAAAAGAGAGGAGAGAGAGAGAGAGAGAGACGAAAGAGAGAGAGAGAGAGAGAGACGGAGAGAAGTAGAAGGAGAGAGAGAGAGAGAAAAAGAGAGAGGAGAGAGAGAGAGAGCAGAGAGAGGAGAGAGAGAGAGAGAGAGAGAGAGAGAGAGAGAAGAATGCCCTACAACCATGGGACTGGGTGGGGCATTGAGTAGTGAGGATCTGTACATAACAGGTTTGGACCAATGAAACCTGGGGACATCATTAGCACGGTGCCGCTTGTCGGTGCCACGACTTCGCTTAATTAATGGGCCCCTATGTCCTCGAGAGTAGAAGAAAGAGAGAGAGAGAAGCAGAGAGCGAGAGAGGGAGAGGAGGAGAGAGAGAGAGAGAGAGCAGAGGATAGAGAGGAAGAGAGAGGAGAGAGAGAGGGGGGAAGCGGCAACGGGAGGGAGGCGAAGGGAGAGAAGAGAAAACGAGAGAGAGGAGAGATAGAAAGAGAGAGAGAGATGAGAGAGGAGAGAGAGAGAGAGAGAGAAAGAGAGAGACGGGGAGAGAGAGAGAGAATAGAAATGAAGAGGAGACATTAAGAAAGAGAAAGGGAGAGAGGAGAGAGAGAAAGGTACAGAGAGAGAGGAGAGAGAAAAGAGAAAGAAAGAAATAGAGAGTGAGAGAGGGAGAACGAAAAACGAGAGATTTAGATATATAATATATAACGTATTAACTATAGAGACGAGAGAGAAGAGAGAGAGAGAGAGCGATACAGAGTAGAGGAGAGAGAGACGAGAGAGAGAGAGAGAGAGAGAGAAAGAGAGAGAGAGAGAGGAGAGAGGAGAGAGAGAGGGAGAGAAAGAGCGAAAGAGGAAAGAGAAGAGAGAGAGGAGGGAGGAAGGAGGAGACGAGAGGGCTACGTGAGCGAGAAACAAACAACTCTGAGTCACACTCTGGACATGCACGTCGTCTGCACGGCTCACGACATACGTGTCATCTCCCAGCTCCCTGTCACATACGGCCGCCTGCGACACTGACTCCGTAGCTGTCACCGTGACTCATTGTCATACTGGCTCTCTGTCATACTGGCTCTCTATCATACTGGATATGTCACCTGTAGGACTTTTTCTCAGTAGTGAGCTACTACTACAGGCACCGATATACAGATACTGGCTGCCAGGCATGCTAACTACTTTTCTACTACTACTGCGGGGGACTCGTTTACGGAGACCTCGTAAATAGACCTCGTTTACGGAGACCTTGTGACTGTCGTGGGGAGAAAGTTCGTGCAACTCTTGCACGGCCCTTCACTTCGAATGTTACGATAATTTTAGCCTTATATGGTTTAATAAAGTAATAACCATTATGATGTTTTTTGACAACGGGCACCTGGCTCCGTCTCATAGCTCCGTGACCAGCTCTCACTATAGTGATCTCCGCTCTCATACTAGGTTATTGTCATGCCACGATGCTAGCCTCCCCTCTCATTCTTGAGAGCGCGTATCGCGCGTATATGATTATAATGTCACTCATATATATATATATATATATATATATATATATATACATATATATATATATAACAATATCATATAACTATGATCAAGCTCCCGTGTGGTGTTTCCACTATTCTCGGCGTTACATAATTGTTTACAATGAGCGGCCGGATCAACCGCGTCGAAAATCTGTGGTTGCCTAATGTACACATAGAATCCCAACACAGCTTAGACACGCACGACACAACCACACACACACACAGGCACACACACACACAACACACACTACACAGAGACGCACACAGCACTACACACAGGCCGACACACACACGCACACACACGGATGCGAAAGTGACCTGACGTCACACACGAAGAACTAGCATGACAGAACAGAAACACCACACGCAATAACCACAAACAACCACGCAGCGACACAACACACACCACACACCGCCACGTACAAGCCACCACCACCACAACGAACCCAGCACACACACACAAATACACACACACACACACACACACACAACACACACAAGGAACGACCGACCCCCACACACAACACAATCACGAAAATCGCCACAAACAGACACACACAATAACTAAATAAATGGATGGGTGCGACTTTAGCGACGTCTCGGCGTAATCACACAAAGAATGACTACGAAGCAAGCGAGCGAGCCTGCTCACAACCGCTACACGAGAAACCTTCCGTCCGTGACTGAGCAACAATGACAACGACGAGACAGAACGACGAACGACCGCGCAAGAGATGGCGCAAGCAGAACTGGGCGTTCTTTAATTGTCACCGTCGCCCGCCCAGCGGAGTCATTGTCTGACCACGCCGTCATCCGCCCGAAACGCCATGTTTCTGGCCACGGTCGCCGCCGATAACGTCGCCGCCATCTCAAACCAGCCTGTTGACACATCCGTGCGCAGCTCGTGTGAGGATGAGCCAGCGAGTCGACTCGAGCGATTACGAGATCCCAGACAACAGAGCGGAAGATTAATGACGACTTATTAGGCACGAGAGCAGCGTCCAGGAGAGACCAGGCGAGTGTCCAGGGCTGCGTGCGCGGTCCGAGCTAACGTGTGTTGTTTGTCTGTGAACTGTGAGATGCTTGTATTATTAGTTAGTTCCGTGTCGTATACGAGAAAACGAAAGGCTAATGCCCTTCGTCACCTCGTGAAGTCATTATCGGAGGTCGGGATATATGAGCGAGAGAGGAAGAGAGAGTTAAGAGAGAAATAGGAAAAGGGGAAGAGTGGGGGAGAATGGGAGAAGAAGAGAAGGTTAAGAGAGAAATAGGAAAGGGGAAGAGTGGGGAGAATGGGGAGAGGAGATAGGGTCAAGAGATAAATAGAGAGAGAGATAGAGATAGAGATAGAGAGAGAGAGAAAGAGAGAGAGAGAGAGAGAGAGAGAGAGAGAGAGAGAGAGAGAGAGAGAGATGGAGAATGGGAGAGTGAAAGAGAGTGTACGAAAGAGAACGAAGGATGGGGTAAGGTAGACGAGATAGATAGAGCGAGAGAGTAAAGATAGTAAGCTAAATAGAGTAATTAGTAGCAAAGAGAGAGAAAGAGAGAGAAATAGAGAGAAAGAGAAAGAGAGAGCGCGCGCGCGCGAGACAGGGAGCGAGAAAGAGAGAGCGAAAGACAACGCGAGAGACAGAAAGAAAGAGAAAGAGACAGAGAGAAAGAGAAAGAGCTAGGGCGCGCGCGCGCGAGAGAGAAGGGGGTATAGCTCTTAGCGTGCACTATGCGATCTATGTTAATGATTTGTGGCTCCCCCCGCGGTTACAGCAAACACAATCATTGTCCACGGCTTTGTCAGCGTTCTGAGAACAACAGTCGCTAGATATATCATCAAAGACATGTCATCAAACATCACTGAGTAATTATTGTCCGCGACACCTATATTTCCCTCGGGGTAGAAAAGGAGAATAAAACAAGTTACTGTTTTTATTGGCAGAATACTGACACGCAATGTGTGTGTGTGTGTGTGTGTGTGTGTGTGTGTGTGTGTGTGTG